AGGTCCCGGGCCCCACAGGGGCCCCCACGAGAATATAGTATTCTATAGTATTGCAACGTTTTTTTTTATGGAAGGGGCCCCCAAAGTTGTTTTGCCCCAGGCCCCCTGAATCCTCTGGGCGGCCCTGTCACACATAGTCACCACTTTCAAACTCCAGCACTTTAATTCTATTACAGTAGAACCTCAGAGTTACGAACACCAGAGTTACAAACTGCCCAGTAACTCACACACCTCGTTTGGAACTACAAGTACATAATCAGGCAGCAGAGTCCCAAAAAAAGGAAATATTGTACAGTAGAGTACTATGTTACATGTAACCTACTAAAAAGAAAGATTAAAAAAAGGGATTTGACAAGGTAAGGAAATTATTTCTGTGCTTATTTCATTTAAAATAAGAAGGTTAAAAGCAACATTTTTCTTCTGCAAAGTAAAGTTTCAAAGCTGGATTAAGTCAATGTTCTGTTGTAAACTTTTGAAAGAACAACCATAATGTTTTGTTCTGAGATACAAACATTTCAGAGTTATGAACAACCTCTGTTCCTGAGGTGTTCGTTAACTGAGATTCTCCTGTATACACTAGGAATTTTGTAGCAGTTTGCCCGTGTAAGGAGTAGCATGTAGCTGAGGGTGTGCAGACTGTAAGGTGACATATATGGTTTTTTTCTTCTTACACATGTATATCTGTAATAGTAAATACTGGTTAAATAAAAACAGAGTCTAAAATAACAATTATCCATAATAAAGGATTAATACAGTTCACTAAACTGGTGTTGTTTAACCTGTTTTTCAAATCTTTCAATGCTTTGAGGCACAGATTGTTCAGCAAACCCAAATGACTCCTCAGCACGATGCTATTATATTTCTCTTAATCCTAGCCAAGTATGTGTTGAGGGTAAGCTCCTAAATGGACTAATATTACAAAGAGAAACTTGTCTGCAAGTATACACTCAGTGGCCTACTGGCAAGCATGCTAAAATGAGGAGGCTGTCGGTGAGGTTTTGTCACTTTTACCTTGAGGTCTGGCCAGCTTCACAAAGTGTTGCATGTTAAAATCTTTATAGCATCAACCAATTTAGGTTTTCTGATGCTGTAATGTCTCTCCTGAACGTATGGTCAGTACCTCCAGGAACAGAGATCTATGATGTGATGGGTAGAACTGTGGAAATCAGGTGAGTGTCATGTGTTTGAGGCTTTCATTTTACAAAACTCTTATGAAGGTGCTTATAGTGTTGAATGCAAACTCCATAGCAAAAATATCCAATATTACTAAGAGTTTTTGAGCACCTTAAGATTCAAAAGAATTTAGGAAATGATTCAGCCCTATTTTTTTTTTGTTAGCATTGGGCCAAATTCCGCTATCGCTTATATTGGTGTAAGTCTGGAGTAACTTCTCTGAAGTAAATGAGAATTATTCTGAATTGATGTTATTGCAACTGAGAGTAGAATTAGGCCCATTATTTTTAAGTTTAGGTGTTAATCAACTAATCTGAAACACAGGTCTGCAGATGTTGCTACTGTTCATGTCACTTTGTTTATTTTATTTTTCCACAGGACTGGCTGTAACTTTTGAAAAAGTTACTGTCGTTAATCCCAAATCATGAATTCATCCAATCTCTGGAGTCCACAGAATGTGGAGTATTGCTTTGACTTTGTTAACAATTCATGTCCTAGAAA